GTTTTTAATCTGTTTTATTGAATGTCAATAAATCTTGACATGTTTACACCAATTTGTAAAAACAAAGTAAGAAAAAATAGCTATATTATATCGTTACTTTTATAAAAAAAGGCGCCCAAATTATGATATATAATTTAGGTTTCTACAAAAAAGTTTATGATCTACGCGCATATGTTAACAGGGTTGTTAGTCCCTGTTTTGTTAAACGTATATGTGTGGTTTTGATACGGATTTCTTAAAAATCTAAATGAAATTAAGAAGCTCTTTCAGGCTCTACTATAGATAAAAAAATATATTTCCAAACCGATGAATAACGACCACATGCCGCACACGTGCTAGTTTCGTACCAAAAGACGAATCTAGGCATTCAATACGATTTAAACTATGTCTATAAAAAATATTTAATTAGTGGGTCCGAATACCGAAGAAATATATAAAATGCCGGAATAGCTGATGAATGACTTGTATTTTAGAATTATAAACACCAAAATACTAATTAAGCGTGTTCGTCGGATTAAAATGCAAGAGTAATATTGTTTGGTAAAATGTACACGGCGTTATTCAAACATTGTTAGAAATTTTGATAATATTCGACTTTAACTAGATAAACTCGGAGTAACACAATTTACATTGGTTGGGTAGAAGTTAGCTTTTGTTAGTAACTATATCCTGCACATATTCATGATATAATCAGTACGCCGTGAAACAATCTCTAATAGTTTGGTGAAAGAAACTTGCAAATTAAGGTATTGAACTAGAATAAAAATACTTATTACAAAATTGATACAACAAAAACATAAAAATCCACTGACTTTACTTATAACCAATGTAACATGAATGTGATTAAATAAAAGGCAAATATGACCATTTTCATAAATTTACAAAAATGAACTGGGGTTCTGGTTTATATATTATTGTTCTCCCAATGGTGAACAATTTTTTGACAACATCGAGAACACTGGACTCCTTTTGTATTTCCAGTATAACTATCGACATAAAAAGATCGGGTCAAGAGATATGTCCTGGCGATATCCTGTGCTAAACGATCCTTTATATGTCGCCCCTATATTTTCGTTTTGTTCGATTTTTTCGACTGACGTGGGTCCCAGATCTTAATTGTGTCCTCTCAGTAACGTCTATTCAAAGATTTCACACTGAGGCACGCACTGTACAGAAAACTAGAGGAGAAAACTTAACACAAAAGTAAAATATTTCTTTTTTTATTTTCTGGTCAATGGGCTTGTTTTATATAATGATTTACAGCAAATTTGAAAATTTTCTAGATCCTTAACTGTTGGTGATGCAGTATTTTGTCGAGGTAAAAATTAATTAATTTATTGAAACAAATCCCATATAGAATAATAATCGAAAAATTGAAATTATTTACATACTCGGAATTATTGATGTTGATTTTATTAAATCATAAAAGTTGGTAAGAGAAACTGATGCAGATATAAAAAAATCAACAGAAAGTATAAATATCACTTTTATTCCAATCCCAAGAAAAAAATCAAATCTATATGAAATAATATTTATACAATACTCTTATCTTCAATAGAGATTACACAAAATTCATAAAAATATTTTAAATTATTCTAAGACTTGCATCCCCTTATCAAAGCAGAATCATACTTAAACATTTATCCTATTAAAGAACTTTGCAACTCAAAAGCAATGTTATTTCATGATTATAATACATGAAGAACTATTATCTCTAAACTCTGAACCACATGGACAAGAATCAAACTTTGTCCGAAAACAAAGACACTTATGTTGTCTTTATATAAGACAAACTTTATAAGATCTCTATCAACTGCGTGAGTTTTCTCTCGTGTGGTCACAAAATGTTTACCAGAGATGAACAAGTGGGGAAATGTGACATTTGATCGAAATTGGTTTTGTTATAAAACAAACGCTTTTTTTAATAGATTTTTATCCAAATTGTGACCAATTATAAAAATGTCTACAAAACACATAATGGAGTGAATAAAAACTTCTTAATAATACTAATATTTTTATGTATGATTTCGGGAACACAAATCAACAGATTTTAATGTTTCAATAAGTGCTTATAAGTTTTTGGAGAAGGCAAAAATGGCAATTCAATGAGAGAACGCTCAATTTGAATCATTTAAAATCATTTTATTTTTATTGATGAAATGAAGGTTTGATTAAATTTAAGTTTAAATAAAATGCCATTTGGCCAAAAATTATGATTAGACATATGCACATTAAATTATCAGATATTTTATAAAGATTTTAGAAATAAGTACATGGGTTTCGTTCCTATGTTATTCATTATATTGCGACGCGGCGCTTACGCGCTTTGTCTCTAGAACAAATACGCAACGCGATTGCTTCGAAAAAAGTTTAAATTTTCAATTTTCAAATAATTTTATTTCTAATTTTTCAAGAATATCAAAACTCAAAAATCTATTTTTTTCAGAGTTTTCAAAAAATGTTAAAGCTTTTTTAAAGATTTTAATTTTATGTACGAGAAGTTTCAGCAATTTGCCTTAAGGCACGTTGCCATGCACCACTAGTTCCTCATTTAATTTGTGTTACATTTATTGAACAAAGTAATAACTATATCTGACAGTGAAGAATGGCACTACAAGAATAAAGTCTCTCGTAATTGCTAAAACTCCATCATCCCTGAACCCGAAACCGCCCCGGAGAAGTTCCTAGAATGAGGTTTGCGGCAAGAAACTACATTTGCGAATACGTGACGCGATAACGTAGTGGCGGCAACTCGAACAAGAACTCGCTTCGAAACGCAGAACACGCGAAGAAACGCCGACTCAGGTTGTTCGGCAAAACAATACTTTGCGGCAACAATGTTGCGAGCGACCCGAGAGGAGATTAATTGATTTTTTTATCTTTTGCCCCAAAATTAATGAAAAATTGAGAATACATGGATAACTATAGAATTAAGTGCATTTATTATTTGGCACTACAACTTGTATAAATTACGTAGATTTGTGAATGTTTATCGTTATTCAGGATTTATTTATTTATTTATTTTTTTGACCTCACATACTATTCAGAAATAATCAATCAAAGATATTATGTGAAATAGCATAATAATGCTAACAAATTTAAAAAAAAGAGACAGAAAATATTAGGATTAAATTTATTTAAATAAAATATTGAATATTAAATAAATAAAGAACAAAACATATCGCAATTAGAAACAGTCTTGTAATTTCCGCCAAAACTTCATTCAGTAGTACGTAGATCAGTATCATCATGTTACATACTAGCAGAAAAATAATGATGGATCACTCGTTTGAAATATGCAAACTAATAAAAAGTATTTCTTTTGATATGTTACTAATTAAATATGATTATATGGTTTCGTTGATATTGAATTGTGCAATTAATATAAATCTGTGCATTATTTCTTTTCTTGTTTGTTTTATTTAATTAGCTTGTATTCAAAAATGCTACAAATATGCGAAAAGAAAAGTATCATCGCTAATTATTTTAAGTTTACTTTGCTCGTCATACAATATTCATAAAATCTAATGGAACATCTGATGTTTCTCAAAGACTTTTATTATACCATAGATTGCATTTGAAAAATACGCGTTTACTTGCAATATTTTTAATATTCATAAAGAATTCTGAATAATACTCATGATTTCTCGTAACATTTTTAATATTGTTGATTATTATTCAATGATTAAGAGTCCCCATTAAACAAGTATAATTCCTAACAATCAATATATGTTGTACTAAGGTTTTGTAATTCTGTCAAACAAGGTACAATAAACGTTTTCCTCATAAACCAGATATTTATCTAATATCAGGAATTTTATGAATGCAATAAAGTATCCTGTGAATATTTTATCCATAACATTTAAATAATCCTGCGTTAAACAAGCTGCATTTTCCCAACACATGTCTTTAATAATATAAGGTATTTCCGAAATCCAGGTAAACAGATTGCTGCAGCAACCGGCAATTGTTAAAGATTGTAAAATATCTATTAATGCGTTTTGGTACGAATGCTTTTGTGTGAGGGCGGAGACCATAAAGACGAGAAAAATGTTTTGTGTAACACTAATCAAAAATACTTCGAAAAAGGTGCGTAGCCTAAATTGCGTATCGTTAAGAAATAATATTTCATTATACGAAGGCAACAAGTTGATAATGATTTCTTTACAATATCTTGCAGAAATGCCAATTCGCGTTTAACAGATTTATGCAGAGAAATGCAAATACTACTCTTTTTAATCCCAATAGAATTAGATAGCAAGATTTTGTGAGATACTTCAAGTTCATTATAGCAATTTTCATATTAAACATTTGTTTCATCGAAGATCATTGAAGAAAATAAAGTGATTTAATATTATGTATGTATAAAACTACATCCTATATAATTGATTGAAGTACCAACGGTCGGGAAACAAGGACAAATTACCCCAAACGGGGTAAAACTGGAGAAAAAATTTTGGGAGTAAAAAGTATGTATTTTTAGTTGACATTTACTGTATTTGCTACGTAATTGTCCGTACGGAAAGTTATCTCTCTTTGCCACGAGGTATTATCAATTTATACAAAAATATTTTAGGGTAATGTTTAAAAAAGTTCTCCGACCACTGTTTTAGATAAAAAATTAGATGAAGAGAGAGTTTTATAAGAAGCAGTGTTGATAGATAAGGTGATGGAATTCAACACATTATAACCACTTGATACATTAGTTAACTAATGTTAATTATTGTCCAATCAAGTTCATAATTGCAAGCAAGTATTAGACCAAAGTCATGCATGCATCATTTTCAATATGAAATTATTGTATTATTTTTTGCACATCCTTTTCCGAATGGTGACAATAGAATTTTATTCCAGACACCTGTTACGCGCGTTTTTGAATTCATTTCGAGCTTTGAATTTAAAATATACCTGATATATGCTGTATTTCAATCGCATGATACTCAAACGAGAATAGTTTGAGAATAAAATCACAATTTAAAAAAAAGTAAAATACGCCTCACTAACCTGTAAAGAAGTGCAGCTCCCGCTATTCCGCCACCGCATTGAGCGACCGCGTACATTAAAGCTCTAAGGGGCGAAATCGCCCGCGTTATCGCCATACCGACAGTCACGGCGGGATTCACGTGGGCACCTGTAAAATATAATTTGCACTATTGAATATGATAATTTCACTATTGAATTGATTGATCGTATCAATATAATAAAAAGTAAGTAAATAATGCATAATTTCAGCATGTGCAAAATTCTAATATTTTTACAAGCTGAATGTAAAGTTCAAATAAATTTCAAAGTAGTGATGTGCTAAAATATACAATTCAGATAAAAATATCTGCTAATATTACATTTTAGCAAGCATGAATCGTAAAAAAATATTTAAAAACAAAGAAATAATTAAATTATGATTACCATGTCCTCTAGCAACTTTTATTGAAGATATAAAGAATATTTTATTGTAATATATAAATTTGATAAGGAGGATAAAATACGCAAAGTGCAATATAAATGAAATGTGATGCTTTGAATTAAATAGAATATTGTTTACAAACATCTTATGAAATATAATCTCATAACAATCCTATTGCAAAGAGGAATAAACTAGTTTTCATTACGCTTTATTAAAAGCTTTTGTGCGCTGATATAACAACAGAAGTATTATTTTTTTTATATATTTCTTTTATAAAATTTAAAATAGTAGAATAGAAAAACATTTTATTTTTATTAAAATAAATGCTTGTTAACTTCCCGTAGTGTTAGTTATAGTAATTGTCAAAAAATAAAAAATGAAAATTTTTATATATCTTCACGTTTCAAATGTTTCTGATCATTTTAGTATATGTACCTTAAAATGAATGCATGTGCGTCTGTTTGTAAAAAATGAATGCATATTTATGTAGTATCTATGCGTTTATTATGTTTGGATACTAATTTTCAACCGAATTGAATGATTGAGAAAACATTCGATTCGTATTGACAGGGATGTGCTTATTATTAGTTTTTTGGCAAAGGCAGGTACAGCTGCTTCGGAGACACAGGGCAAAAAGCGCAAAAACAACCAGTTTTTGAGAGAATGGCACATCCGATTAAAATGATTCAAAAAACATTTCATTCGTATTGATTGAGGAAATAATTATAGATTATATTTATGCGAAGATAGGACACGCGGCTTTGGAGAATTAAAAAATGCAAAGAATAGCAGTTTTTGAGAGAACGGCGCATCCAATTAGAGTGATGCAAAAACCATATTGCTTGTGTTGACGGTGTTTATTTCTGTTTACGTTCCTTTGGATAAACATATATAAAGTACTAATACCATATGATATTTATATAATTCGATAATGAAATTTACAGTATTTATAATAATTATTAATATAAAAATATTTGAAATAATTGTTATTACTCATTGATATATTTTTATTAATGATTAATTATTTTTATTTCGCAAATGTTTATTTACTGTACGGAAAGTTGTAGCAATTTGCCTTAAGGCATAATGCCATGCACCACTAGTTTTCAGAGTGGAGAAATAATTAAAAGAATTGACATGTGAAAAAAATCGAAATTTGTTCAATTAACTCTCTTCATATTGGATGCTGAAGTTCATCACTCCAATAATAAAAGTCTAAAGTCTAGACTGTCTTCAATAAGTAATTGCAATGTACGGATGAACGTCTAACGAACATAGGGAAGATAACAACAATGTACAAACTGTCATTACGGTTGACGTGCGCGAAATACGATCTCCATATTTTGATCGTCAGCAAAAGCAAACTTTCGACGAATGTTGTAGAACTTCTTCGAGATGATTGCGATTTAATTAAGTTGCCACTTTAGAAACATTCTGCTTGATTGGAATTGCAAAGCAATCGCCTCATTTTTTAATTAAAATTTACTTTAAAGCTTTCGTTTCAAGTATCATCATTCGTACTTCACAGTAGTAAATATAACAAGTATTTTCAAAGACTGTTTAATCGCGGAATCAATGGTAACTTCGCATTAAATTCATTAACACCGATTTTAATTTAAAAAAATAGTTCACAATGAAATAAATAACATTAATTTTCAAATAAATTAAATTCAAATGGCTATATCCCTTACCCGAAATATGTGACAAACTATGGGTCAGCATACCCATCGCCAGGCCCGAAGCCAGAGCGGAGGCCAGAAGGACCGCGGACGTCGAAGCTCCGAGTCCCGCGCCCGCTGCCGCCCCGCACACGATAAACACATAAAAGAAAGAACCAACGCATTCAGCGAAAATGGCACGCCAAAATTCCAACGAACGGATTTCCAGTTGCATAAGCGGCCTGGCTTCTTTATTGGTTTGAGATCGCCTTAGGCCTTCCAAACGTTCGAACAAAGTCACGATATGTTGGTCCAAAACATCGTCTGGAAAACTTAAACTTTCGTCGCCCATCATAGAAAAATTAATCACAGATGTAAGAAAAATTTATAATTTTATGCACTTGTATACACTGCACTCGTGCGCGACTGTTCCTTTATTTGATTGAGCACGTTTCAAAACTGTCCTATGTTTATAATTCTACTGGATGAAAAAGCTACCGAGGACCGCACTGCACGAAGCACCGGCACGCAATGAAGGCGAGCACATGGTTTGACACGCGAGTCGCTTCCCTCTCCCCCGAGCTTGTTTTGCTCGCTTGACGCAGATTCACGATTGGGGTGTTTTATTTATTAGTATGGTCGTGCGTGGTCATTTCGATGTATACTTTGTAAGTCATAATAATAACATTTGAAACACACAAGTGTTGAATTTAAAATTTACTTCTATAAGGTAACAATGAGAATTAAAATCTTGACTGGACATTGTGCTTTAAAGAAAATTGCTGGAACTTCTCGCACAGTGATTTAAAAACGTTAAAAACATTTTTTTTAAATTTAAAAAAAATTAGATCTTTTTGAGAATTTTGAAATTTTCGGAAATTCGACGCGCGTAAGCGCCGCGTCTCATTCAGTCTCTAACGGATAACCATTATAAATATTGGTTCAGAATGCATAAAAATGTGAACAAAATTTGTACTTGTTATTGAATTCTCATAAAAATATCTGATAATTTGATGTGCATATGTCTAATGATAATTTATGACCACCAAATGGCATTTTTTTAAACTTTTTTTATTGGACCTTCAAAACGTCTGGAGTCTATGCCAAAAACCTGTCAATATAAATCGAATGTTTTTTAAATCATTCAAATCGGTTGATCCGCTCTCTCGAAATTGTCGATCCACAAACACACACACGTCCATTTTTTCTAAGGTATACCAAAATGTTCAGGAGGGCTTCAAACCTAAACATATGCAAAAATTTTCATTTTAGATTTTTTGCGGTTACTATAATTTACTCTACGGAAAGTGAAATATTCATATATTATTACTGAAAATATTTTCATTTCAAAATATACAAATAGCAAAATAGAAATATATTTCAGAAAAATATTAATAAACCTAATAATTCGATAAATTTACAATTGCAATGAAAAATATCTTTGAATATATAAGTCAACAATAAAACACTCTATTAATATAGATATTATAAAAAAACAAGTGATATATTTTTTTGGTTAATTACAAACTGGACTAGTTGAAAGTGGCATTTAGCCTTACAGCAAGATGCATGAACTCCCGAAATGTGAAATAATTGACTTAATCAACCAATATTGAGATTTAGATATATTTAGATAAAATTTTCAACATTTCGAAAATAAAGTTTTCGCTTTCAATTAAATCTAAACATTGCGAGTTTCAATTGAATTTTCTCAAACACATTTAAATTTTCTTAATTATATTAATTATTTTGCACATATGCGTGCTTATATGCTCTAAAATTGTAGTTTATTATTCCAAATTATATTAAATTGGCTATGTTTGACTTATCACATCACTAAAGCAACTTTTGATACTTTTGACTATATTTTTTCAAACTTGGATGAATTTTTAAAATTAAACTACTTGCGGTTGGTTCGTAAAATTTTAGTATGTTCTTTAGGACCATCTATAAAAAAAATGTTTTATCGGTTGTTTTTTCAACAGTTAATTACGAAGAAACAGTTTGGCCGATCTTTGCCCAAAGTTTAATCAGCACGAAACTCAAATATCTTTCGAATAGTTTTTGAATTTTTAAAGTCGATTCAGATATTTTGGCTTAAATGTGAACGAAATTTTTTTTGCTAATTACAAAAGAAAACGGTTTGGCTGATTGTCGCGCAAAACCGACGAACGCAAGCTAGTTACATCGAATGCCTTTTTCAATTTTTGAAGTCGGCCCAGACGTTTATGAGAAAACTTCGACGAAAGGTAAAAATTCTGTTCACACACACACACACATACGTTTTCCAAATTAGGTCTCATTCGATTCAAAATGGCTTGAAACTTATAAAATTTCGGAAAGTTATAAATAGTTTTATAAAACAAAATATTATTTTACATTATTATTACAGAAATAAATAATGATTTCTCTTATTAAATAATTTACTCCAGCTTGTAACTCAACACTTGAAATGTTTGTAATCAACCAGAAAAGCGTGAAAAATTTAAGATTTTTTTTATAAAATAATTTACTCTAGCCTATAACTAACCAAAATAGTTTATCACTGAAAATTAGTATATCACTAAAAATATGTCGAAAAATTCATAACTTTTTCAACTTCCCGTAGGGTAAGTTGTAGTAATTGTCCGAAAATCGAAAATAAAAATTTCGGGTTTTACCTTATAAAGAAAAAGTGAATATGTGTGCGTAAGCGTTTGTGTTTCCACGTTTCCATGAACGGATCAACTGATTTGAATTATTCAAAAAGCATTCGATTCCGATTGATAAGTTAATGACTGATTCGATTTATATTGATATAATGATAAATTGACTGAATTTTTGCCAAGACAAGCCTACCGGTTTTAGATATTCAGATTAAATTTTTTTTAAAAAATACCATTTGGCGATTGAAAATCTGAGAGTATGAATCAACATCAAGTGAATGGGTATCGAAAACTTTCAAGAAACTCAACAAAAAATTTCAATATTTTCATAAAAATAAAGAAATTAACAAAATATCAATGCTTTAAAATTTTTTAGATTATTAAAAAGTTTCATAAATCTCAACAAGGCGATTTTTTTCAATTCTTTCAAAAAATATTTAAATTGTTCAAATATTTCCAAAATTTACAAAAAATTCGAAATTTAAAAAAAAATGTTTTCTTTTTTTTACGGTACGGGAAGTTCCAGCAACATCACGAGTTTCTAAAATAAATCATTCCTGCTCTAACTAGTAAGTAACTACATATAAAAGTATATCACTTGATTTGTGTATAAAAAGTTATTGATTTTCTTATAAAAATATTTGTACGAGCTCATAACTGACCAGTAAACTCATCGCTTGAAATGTATATTAAGATTTAGTGATTTTTCTCATAAAATACTTTATGAAGAAAATTTCTTTATAGTATGTAACAAAATATGTGTATAGTACATTATTTATGATGCCTAATAGTATGCAATCAGAGTTACTGCAGCAATTTAATCGCCTCAGTCGCGACAGTAAGCTGTTAAGTGCTTTATAGAAAAGCATTTTGCGAAGCATGATATTCTTTACGCGGAAATGTGAGTTCATTTTCTAACATTATTCAAATTTTGTATATTTTATGTATTTTATATGATTTTGTATTGTTGTCAGGCTATATTTTGATAAGTCACATAAAAAAATATTTATTTTCAGATATCATGAAAAAAATAACGTAATTTTGCAAAAGCGTTGATATGCATAGTCTCAAATAATAGAGGATCAATTAATACATAGTACTTCCCGTAGGGTAAGTTATAATACTCGCTAAAAACAAAAATGAAAATTTTTATATATCTTCACGTTTCAAAGCCTTCTGAACATAGGAAAAATGAATGTGCTGACTATTTTTCCGCAAATGGAGGTCCAGCTGTTTCGAAGATACAGAAAAAAACTTAAAAAAAAATTACCATTTTGCAGTCAAAAATTACCATTGTAAAATGCATATCAAATTATCAGATCTTCTATAGAGATTTTAAAAATAAGTACAAATTTTGTTTATATTTCTTTGACTGTTAGACTACGACGCGGCTTTTCGATATTTCGTCTCTGAAACATAAACGCAGCGCGATCGCTTTGAAATAAATTCAAAATTTTCAAAAAAATTCAAATTTATTTAAAAAAATCTAAATTTTCTGAAACTTTCAAATAATTTAAAGCTTTTAAAAATTATAAATCATGGCACGGAAAGTTCCAGCAATTTGTCTTAAGGCACGATGCCCTGCACCACTAGTTTCGTATTTTATTTTAATAATCAATCACAGTTGTTGTATGATGGAATATTAAAATATATGTTAAATATATTATGCATTTCTAATATAATTTTATATCAGTAACATATTATTTCACAAATATAAAATGTGAGATAAAATACGAATTTATATACGAATTTTAAATGTAAATCGACAATTCCGATTCATTTTCAAGAATTACAGCTCTATCTATACCGAACTATTGACGATAGTTTTGGGAGTGTGTTAGTTCAGAATATAATCGGACGTAGCGAAGGCACAGTCGCACTTTCGTCAGGGTTCGAAACTTGAATGAAAGCTCAAAGCTATAAAAGCTTCTGGCATTATATTTTATTCTTAAAGTATTTACAAAAGATAATAATATTTAATAATATTTTTCATGTGAATTAATTTGAGAAAGTTAACAAAAATACGACTGAATAAATATCAAATCTTCTGTATTAAGTTTTTGATAACAAAATAGTTATTTTAAATTTTGTTTATAATATGTGTATTTATGTTATCTTAAGCTATCAAAGAAAATAACAAAAATATTAATCTTAACATTAATTGTTAAAATATTTTGTAAAAACTTGGCAAATTATTTATTGCTTGAGGAAAGTTTTAATTTTCTATCAAAAAATCCGATTTGCTAACCGGACAACTGTTAAAACGGCTGTCTCCTTCAAACAAAGTTTCAAAGTTTTGGGAAATTTGTCGGCTAAATGTAGTAAAGACATATCAGTTAATCTTTATGGCCAATTGAAGGATCTAACCACATTCTTAAAATCTAAAAAGAATTATTGCTGATAAAATTCAGCAGTCTTGCATACAATTTTTGCGAGGTACTATACTAAATACTTCAACAATAACACATTGTATTCTTGGTTACTTCCTGATAAAAATTTACCTAAAAACCTGATACTATTGTCCATAGAAAAAAGAAACTAAAAAAAAACTAGAGTTTACTATCAGCTATAAATGATTTAATAAATCAGTTTACCGCCAAAGACAAAATTGAATTGTTTGTACTATATTTGGGAAGAGTGACAAATAAATATTTTTCATTTTTTCTAATGTTTTATTTTATTTTGTGAGAAATCTTTTCCCTTAAGTAAGTAAATCTCCCAAACCGATTTTTATACAGGGACCGGTTTATAGACAGGAATATATTAAAATTGAATTGTTTGTACAATATTTGTGAAAAGTGACAAATAA